TGTCCCCATTCTATAGATGCAGAAAACCACGGAGACCCAGAGAGGCCTCAATGGAACTTGGGACAGCAGCCTAGGGCGTTTTCCCTGGCACTGCAGTCCCTTCTGGTCCTGACCTCTCCCTCTTCCTTCCAGCTCCTCCTCCCAGGCCTTCTAGGCCCCACATTTTTCTCAGCTCCTGTCACTCTCCCCTCTGCTGACCCCATGGCCCTTCCCTTCCCATAGTCCTCCTCTCACATCGTGCTCTGCCCTTTCTTGCAGCCCTGCGGCCTCTGAAACACTCGGAAGGCAAAGAAGGTAAAGGTATAAGGTGCTTGAGAACACTGTGGGTCTGTGTGTCTGCGCCTCTTGTGTGGGAGGCTGGGAAGGAGTTGTCGCTTCAACTTCCCACCTTGTGAGACCACACAGGGCTGAGTGCCTGAAGCCCCCATGTAAGCTGGGATCCAGGTTCCAGCTGCTCTGTAAAGTGCTGGGTCACACTTCATTGATATTGGAGATCTAGACTGGAGAGAAGTGATCCCCCATATTGTTCGGGACCAAAAGAGGCAGAGGAGATGAAAGCAGATGGAGATCAAAATGTCAGCATGGTTCCTGGGGAGTATGGCCTGGGTGTATGATGTGGTGGGCTTCCCAATCCTGCTCCCCTGTGAGGCAGCCTGGGGCCTGGTCTCTGACTAACTGGCCAACCCACAGAGGCAAGCCCTGAAGGGAGAGTGATCAAGGACACTTCCTCTGCAGACAGATGGAGCCCAGGAGTAGGCAAGGTCATATACCAGGTCCTTCTTCCAGACTTTTCATTCAGGCTACGGAGTGGACAGAGATCAGGGGTGAGACTCTAAGAAGCCAGATGGAGGGGAGTTCCCCATAGCATCCTCATTCTTGGGACCACTGGGAAAGGGTTTCTGGCTAGAGGAAGGAAGTGGTCCGGGCCTTGGAAGATGGCTTGATGGACAGGCAGGATGAGATGGAAAGGGAAAAGTATCCCAGCTGGATGGGCTACTTGGGAGGTCAGAATGTGTGTCATGTGAGTAATCTGTGGGGACTGAGGACAGAGTTTTTTCTGGGTGACTTCCTGGCTGTGTCAGACTCCTAGTTCCTGTGCTTGTGTTTGGACCTGTGAGGGCAGTGATTGGCATAGGAGGCTCTTAGTTGAATGATTGTGGCCAGTCTCACACCCACTGCCAACCCTGAATGTGTGACTTGAACCTAGGGTTCTGGTGGTACAGCTGCATCTATTTCTTGCCCTAGCATAGAACTTGCAGTGACTAACGTTGTTTTCTCCCCATCCTGAAATGCAGATGATGGACAAGAAATTGCCTGACCATGAGGACCAGGGAGCTGCTGCCCTGCTTGGGGCCCGTACCTTTGGCTGCACTGGGCCCTCAGTGCAATCCCAGGGCAGGGGGCTTCCCTGCTCCCAACTTCCTGATGGGTCTCACTCAGGCAGGTTTACTCATTCTCCAAAGGACACAACACAGAGACGAATTCCTATCCCTGCCACCTTATTTCGCTAATGGACAGGATTTCTAAGTTACTCTGCTGCCTTATTTCTCTGGCCACATGGTACGCAGACCATCATGCTGCCTTATTTCTTATGGTCACCACTACAGAACACCCGCCATCTTGTTTCTTCAATGAAGATGCTACCTGGACCATCTAGCTACCTGTTTTCACCAAAGGATGCAATCTTCAGATTGAGTCTTTGCCTTATTTTTCCAAAGACATGATACGAGGCACCCTTTGCCTTGTTTCTCCAATGGCCCTGTATACTAGATGATACCTTTCAGTTTTCTACTCTGGGTGCTTACCACAATCCTCTATAACCCGTCTCTCAGCCAAGGAGCCAGCGCTCTCAGCAGCTCTTTGAGTCCAGAGGCTCCTTCTTCTCTGTCTCAATGTTGGCTCTTTTCCTCCTCCACCGAATCAAGGGTACATGCAGCGCCACCCCCACGGTGTGCAGAGACCCACAGGTGCACGTGCTGGAACACGCATGCCCCTCCCCACACCCTGGTCTCTTTGGTGGCACCCTGAGCTGCTTCCTGTGAGCATCCTCCCCCTACCCACCCCCAGGGAAGCATGTGCCGGTCACACTGGATCTCTGGACGTGCGTGATGTCTCCTCTCACCCCCTACCTAGCCACAGTCAGATTCTGTCCCTCTGTCTTTACTGCCTTGGGAGCTTCAAAACAACTTTGGTTTTGTTCTTTTCATTTGTCCATCCAATGACTGTTTATTGAGCATCCACGGGGTGTCAGCATTGTGTTAGGTGCTGGGACCCAGAGGGAGAAGATAAGTCCCACCCTCAAGTCTCATCACCTGGTTGGGAAAGCCACGAGAAAATAGACAAGGAGCTGAGTGTCAATCTGGGGACTGCTAGGGAGGGTGATTCATGGTGGGCGGCCTCTGCCTTGTTTCCTGCTGATCCCTCCTCTGCGTCCACAGTTCCTGGATAGCTCACCCTCACCCCACCCCAAATCCTGACCCAGAGCATAAGGCAGAGGCAGAAACCTGGAGAGAGGGCTGTCGCCTTTTGCCACATCTGGAAATTCGGATGGTTTTGCCAGATGTGAGCTTGGAATAGCTGGGGGGTGGGGGAGGGTGTGGACGGACAGGTGGCCTTTGGCCCCCAGCCCTGGGATAGAAGCAGCATAGGTGAATCCTGAGACCTCCCTCAGTCACAGGAGTTGGGGGCTGTGGCCAAGAGGGCTGCAGGACACAGGCTCTGCCCCCCACTCAACCATGGTGCTATTTTGGGGTGGGGCCAGCCCCTGGCTTGTCCCTGGCCAGCCTCCTGTAAAACTTCTGATGTTCTGAGGTCCTCCTGGTGACATCTTTCTCCCAGGAATAGAGGATGTGGAGCTTTTTAATTTAAATGTGGGACTCTGAGGAATTTTGTATATTGGGGGAGGATGGGGGGAAAAAAATAAATAAATGCCTTTGTAGAAAGCTTTCCTGGTGTGCTTGTTTGGAAGCAGAATGGGGCATCATACTTAGTTGGACTTCTTCCTAGTGATTCCAGGTTGCAGTTAGGAGGCTGGGTCTCTGTGCTCACCAGTGTGAAGTGACTGCGTTTCCCGTTTCCCAGACCCTGCTTCCTTGTTGGTACAAAGCAGTCCCATCACCAGAAAGTCACAACCTTTGGTCACTGAATGAGGCTTCTCCCACTCTGAGGAGCAACCCCTGGTTTCTTTTTCTCAGAGGACTCAGACCCTTGTTTAGGGCTTGGCTGATGCCCGCATTTTGCAGATGGGGAAGCTGAGATCCGGTACCAGAAAAGGAATTCTGTGTGCTGTTCCGGGCTGACCCAGTGGGATGGACATCAGGCTGGGATCAGAGGTCCAGGCTCAAGACCTAGTTCTGTCCTATGACCTTGTGTAATCCATTTGCCTTCTCTGGGCCTTAGCTTTCTGATGTTTAAAGGACTTTCCATTTCTTCCACTAAAGAGAAGGGAGTGAAAGATGCAGACAAACAGGTCCCCAGGACAAGCAGGTTGAGGGACAAGGGATCCCACAGGGCTTTCTGTGTCCATTGCCCTGTGGTGACAGACTCAGCTCTCAGCTGGCCAGTCAGTTCCTAAACGTCACAGGCCCACGAGCAGCAGGAAGCGACTGGACTGGGAGTCAGGACACTTGCCGCTGGGTCTTGGCTCTGCTCCTATGACCAAGCCCCTGATTTAAAAAAAAAAAAAAAAAAAAAATCTCTTCAATCTCTATTACATAGGGGTGAGACCTCTCCTAAAAGGAATCCCTGGATGGCACAAATGGTTAAGCACTTAGTTACTAGCTGAAAGGTTGGCACTTTAAGCTCACCCAGAGACACCTCAGAAGTAAGACCTGGCATGCTGACTTTGAAAGGTCACAGCCCTGAAAACCCTGTGGCTCTGTTCTCCACACACGAAAGACCTTTGTCCCCTTATACTCTGAGTGCCCTTAAGCTTGTCCCTTCATTTCAGTGGGCTTCAATCCCCACCTGTGAAGTGGAGACTGTGTGGTAGTTCTACTTTCATAGGATTGTGGAGAAAATTGATGAAAAGAAGTGCTGGGTGCAGGAGAGGGGTGACTTCCCCCCCCTTCCTACAGCCAGGGTTGCCCATGCTTGCTCCTGAGATGATTGTGTATATGAAATGCAGTGACTCTGAGTAAGCTGTCTGAGCCTCACTTTACCCATCTGTAAAATGGGCACAGCGAAGGGTACTTTTTTCCTCTGGAGGGGCTGGGATAAGGTGCAGCTACAACACTAGATGGACCTAGCAGATGAGGGACTTGCCTTGCTTGGGGTGGGGGTTGTGGCGGAGGAAGGTGGCCACTGAGCTCCCCCAGAGAGTAGTATTTTTAGCTGCCCTTCCTAGGCCAAGCTCCAGCTCCTGCATTTTAATGGAGAAATAATTCTCACAGTGTGACATGCTGCAGCCTGCAGGTGTCACATCCATATTAAAGAAGGGACAGAGCAAGGGTTCATTTGCCTGGCTGGAGGTGTGACTGGAATTTGTCCCTAGAACCATTGGTAACAATGGCTGTGAAGACTAATTAGTGAACTGACCACTCAGAGGGAGGAGGCTTGCTGGAAGGGGTGGGAGTGGCAGCATTGCCAGGGTACACTGAGCGATCTTGTCTCTTTCTCAACCCGCTTCTGCCCTCTCCCAGGCTGTTCTGGTTAACTCCGAGGCATGAACCGTACCTTCCCTGGGGTTCTATTCAGGGAGAGACACCTGACCTAACTGGGCCCCCAGGAGGCAGTTGCTGGGTGGGATATTGATACTGATGTGTGTATGTATTAAATAGCTGACCCAAGATCTTGTTGCAAACTCCACTGCTTAAATTGAGAAATGAAGCCAAAACTTGCCCTGGGTAGCCCCAAACCGGGCTTTCCAAGTGCAAGGGACTCACTGAATAGCAAGAACCAGAGGCCTAGGAGCAGCAAGAAGCCAGAAGGATGGGGCTGGGTGGTGGGATAGGGAGCGGCTGGTGGGTAGAAAAGTCAATACAAATGCAACCACTGCAGAAATGCATGAAGTGGTTACTCTCACCTCTACTCCCCTCAATTCCAGAGGGAAGCGCCAGTAAGTTTGCCAACCTTCCAGAGAAGTTCTCAGGTGCTGTAGACAGTTAACATGGTAGGTTCTTAATTGAAAGGTTGGCTGAGAAAGATCAGCCACGGAAAAGCCTCAGGAGCACAGTTGAGCTAGGATACACAGCTCTACTCTTAACTTTGACCATGCCAACTGGCAATCCTTCTAGACTTTCCCCCTAGACTTACACATTTGCAACAAGATCTTGGGTCAGCTATTTAATACATACACACATCAGTATCAATATCCCACCCAGCAACTGCCTCCTGGGGGCCCAGTTAGGTCAGGTGTCTCTCCCTATTCTAGTTCTCCAATATTGTATCTGGTTTTCTTGACCTTTTTTCCAGGTCTGTTCTTCTAGAGTGCTTACTTCTACCTTTTCTTTTTTATTGAGGATACATTTTGGTGTATAGCTCCCAGAGTTTTTTACACAGTATATAATCAATCATGTAACTGCTACCCAGATCAACATAGAGACCAGTTCTGGGATCCCAGAATGTTCTATTGTGTCTCTTCCCTGCCAGTAGCCCCACCCAGACATAGTATTCATCATCAGTTAGTTTTGCTTGCTCTTGGACTTCGTATAAATGGAATCCTATAATATGTACAGTTTTGTGTCTAACTTCTTGAAAAAGCTTCCCTCATTTTTTTAAAAAAAGAAAAGGCAACATAGTGTCTTATATAGCACCTTTGTTCTGGGGAGCTTCAAAAAGTTCGTGGAAAAATGGAATGGACAGATAATGGAACTTTCCCATGAATTTTTTGAAGCCTCCTTGTATTTTTACCAGTTCCTACAGTTTGTGGTGCTGTAGGATAAGCACTAGACCACAGGTCAGTTTGAATTGCAAGGTGGGTGGTTCAACCCCACCAACTGCTCTTCGGAAACCCAGGTGAAGTAGTGCATTGTGGGTTATGTGTTGGGTTGCTAACAGAAAGTTTCAAACCCACCAGCCTCTGCGCTGGAGAAAGATGAGGCTGTGCACATCTGTAAATATGTAGTCTCGGAAATACTAGGGTATACTTCTATCCTATTCTCTAGGGACTCTCTGAGTCAGAATTGACTTGACTTGGCTTTGGTTTGTTATTGTTTGAACTCAAATAGAGCAGTTTAAATATTAGTTGCTGTGTAGAGTCTGTTCTGTCTCGTAGCAATCCTACGCAGGGTTTCTGCGAGCAGCTGGTGACCTGTGGTTATCAGTAAAGGGTTTACCTTACACTGCCACTCCAGAGCTCAAAAATGTTGCCAATGGTTT